CCCCCTTCCCCTTCTGTGAAATGGACTGGCCTTTCTCAGGGCTCACCTCTGCCCAGGCCCCCTTCCCCTTCTGTGAAATGGACTGGCCTTTCTCAATGCTCAAGGGAGAATGGAGTTGAGACATGAAAGGTTTTGCTTTATGAAAGGACTGCGTCTTGAATTCTGGCTCTTCTCTGGTGGAAGGGCCCTATTGCTTCTGGACACCACTGCGGTCACAACGCATGTACCCTTCTCCTTATTCACACCTCTTTCCCTTTGGCTCTAGAAGCTGCTTTGGCTGCTATATGACCTAGGACATCTGGAAAGGTCAGTAGAGGGATATGGTCAGACTAGACCTTGGGGGAGCCAGGGGCCTGGGTGACAGCCTGGGTTTATTATCTCTTCCTAGGTACCCCATGGCACTAGGGAACTTGGCGGATCTGGAGGAGCTGGAGCCCACCCCTGGTCGGCCAGACCCACTCACACTCTATCACAAGGTGAGGGCATCTCAGAAAACATCAACTCTTTTCTGGGGATTGGGAGGAGATAGGTGAAAAACGCACTACCTTTAATCCCAGCACTTGTGAGGCAGAGGCAGGTGGATCTCTGTGAGTTCCAGGAAAGGCGCAAAGCTACACAGAGAAACCCTGTCTCGAAAAACCAAAAAAAAAAAAAAAAAAAAGAAGAAGATGAAGAAGAGCTGTGTGCTGGAGGGTGTTTCCCGCCCTACTTTGTATCAGGCACATGTATAATGAGGATAGTTGTGGGTTTTAGAAGTGCCCTCCAGCCTAGGATTGTCAGAGCCTGGATTTGTCCCACCAGCCTGTTTTCAGCCTGCCTCACTGTCTGGCGTAGCTTGTGGGAGCACTGTGGAGAGGTGTTAGCTTGCTCAGTGTGGTAGGAGGGTGGTTGGCCTTGGAAGTCTTTGTAGAGGAACGTGTGGGGAAGAGACCTGCCCTGGCTCTGAGTGCTGCCCTGCCCCTCTCTAGGCCTTGTTTTATGGGGTCACCACTGCTATTGTCTGTAGGTTCGGGCCTGGGATGGAGGTGGGAGAGAGTGGAGAGCACCAGGAGGGGTCAGCAGGGAATGAAGCCAGGATTGGAGTCAGGGAGGACTCTTTGGGGTCCTCCTTTGGTAGCGGACCACTGATGAGGCATTTGTGCTAGCCCGGGGTGCTAGCTGGGGGCCGCCTCCCTGAGGTTCCTCTGCTCCACCCTCCAGGGAATTGCCTCTGCCAAGACCTACTACCAGGATGAGCACATCTACCCCTACATGTACCTGGCTGGCTACCACTGTCGCAACCGCAATGTCCGCGAGGCCCTGCAGGCCTGGGCCGACACTGCCACTGTCATCCAAGAGTGAGGATCCCCTGCCAGGGCCTCCAGCCTGTCCTCCTTCACCTTCCAATTGGTCGTCCAGGAGTGAGACCTGCCCCAAGTCTTGCCCCTCTCTGATCAGCCCCACACAGCCAAGGCTACCCTTACCCAGGAAGAGGCTTATGCCTCTCCTTCCCTCCGCTCCCCGCCCAAGTTCTTCTGCTCTATAGTCAGTTGTCTTATCTATGGTGCCCCTGTCTCTGTCTAATTTCTAGTCCAGCCCCTACATCCCACTCCTTCATCTCGCCTTGAGCTAACATCGTCTGGATGACAGAAAGTGGGATGTCCCATTGTGGGGGCACGGTCAACCTGAATCCTGTGTGTTCTCACAGCTACAACTACTGCCGGGAGGATGAGGAGATCTACAAGGAATTCTTTGAAGTGGCCAATGACGTCATTCCCAATCTGCTGAAGGAAGCAGCCAGCCTGCTAGAAGCAGGCGAGGAGCGGCCAGGGGAGCAAGCCCAGGTGAAGGGCAGGACTCCACTGGTCCACCCTCCTTCCTAGGCATACTGGACTGCATGGGCAGGACTGGGGAGTCTCTTTGGCTGGAGCCGATAGCTTGGGTTTGGGTTTAAGGGACTTGAGGGTGTTTGAGAACTAAAGCCTTCAGGTTGATGTCCATCTCTTTCATGGCCAGGTCCTCACCTGGGCTGGGCTGTAGGTGAGGAAAGGGATACTTCCTCTCCTGCATGCATACCAAGGGTGGGCTTTATAAAAGGAAGGAGGTCCTGGCCTGCATTTACCTTAACTGAAACCAGGGCTTTGCCCAGAGAGAGCCGGGGCTGATCTCTTCTCCATCTTCCCTCTTGTTCAGGGCACCCAGAGCCAAGGTTCTGCCCTCCAGGACCCAGAGTGCTTTGCCCACCTGCTGCGATTCTATGATGGCATCTGCAAATGGGAGGAGGGCAGCCCCACACCAGTGCTGCATGTAGGCTGGGCCACTTTCCTTGTGCAGTCCCTGGGCCGTTTTGAGGGACAGGTGAGAGGTCCC